TAGATTAACGAACTAACGCTGATCTAACTAGGGCTTATTTTGGGGGTTGAGCTAATATTATGAGCATCCCCCCAAAATAAGCTAGGGCTTGTTTTTGGGGTAATTTTTTTTTGGGGGGGGAAGACGGTAGCAAGACAGGGGAGGACGAGGGGAAGAGGAGCCATTGCAAAAGGAGACACTGAATGAACATTGGGAGAGATAGGAGGAGACCACGAGAGGACAGTGTTGAAGAGCCAGAGGGATTTAACAGTTTGTAAAGGAGGACATGATCAACAGTGTCAAAGGTGGCAAAGAGGTCAGAAGAATTTGTATGGTTTAGTGGCCTTTGGATATAGCTGTGATTAGGTAATTTGTAACTTTAATAAGGGCAGTCTCAGTAGAGTGAAAGGGGACAGAAGCCAGATTGAAGAGGATCAAGGAGGGAGTTGGAATTTAGGAAGCAGGGATATGTGACTATAGTTGGATGGCTTTTTAGAATGTGTACAACAGTAGCATGCTTAAGAGGAGCAGGGACAACACCAGACAAAAGAGAGCAGTTGAGGATGTGTGCAGGAGTGTGTGAGAAAGGTACCTGGATCAGACGAACAGGTGGTGGGACGAGAGGAGAAGCACAGTCACCTCCTGTTCTGTAGCTGGGGAGAAGGCCTAAAGAGTAGGGAAGGTACAGTCCAGGTGTGGTTGCAGTGGCGTCGCTAGGGGGGGGCCAGAGGGGGCCATGGCCCCCCCTACATGATGCTGTGCCCCCCCTTGGGCCCCCCCAAATGCTGGCAACTAGCTGGCCATCTGCTTCCCTCGGACTGTAACAGCCTGTGACAGTCCGAGGGAATGCAGTGCTGGGGGCTGTCTGTGGCTGGAGGGAGCACTGATTGGCTCCCCGCACAGGCTCCGCCCCCAAACGAAGCCCCGCCTCCCGCCGATAAGCCCCGCCCCCGCCGTTATGCAGCAGCCCATGCTGCTGCTGAAGATGGCTGCCTGACCCCCACAGGTGACAGGTAGGCTGGGGGGGGTGTACACACACACATTGCCCCCATAGACACACACTGTCCCCCATACAGCCTCCCATACACACACACTGTCCCCCATACTGCCCCCCATACACACACATTGCCCCCCATACACACACACTGTCCCCATACTGCCCCCCCATAGACACACACTGTCCCCCATACAGCCTCCC